CGGCATTAAGGGGCTAAAACAAGGACTGGTCGGCTCGGAGTCAGTATACTGTGTCTGAGTGGGGTATTCATGTTAAACTGCGGCATGGTATCTCAGTGAGCTAGCACTATAAATCGGCATCAGTCCGGACTAGTACAAGCAGCCACACACACACATACACGTGCATGCACGTCGCTATATAACTGCAATAATCTTGGACGCGACGTTAAACCCAACTTCACCTCACCTCACATCAGATAGTCAGTTCTCACATCTGATAGCACTGAGGAAGATAGCACTGTTTTATCATCCAATGTACTGAGGAAGATAGCACTGTTTTATCATCTAATGTACTGAGGAAGATAGCACTGTTTTATCATCTAATGTACTGAGGAAGATAGCACTGTTTTATCATCTAACATACTGAGGAAGATAGCACTGTTTTATCACCTAATGTACTGAGGAAGATAGCACTGTTTTATCACCTAATGTACTGAGGAAGATAGCACTGTTTTATCACCTAATGTACTGAGGAAGATAGCACTGTTTTATCATCTAATGTACTGAGGAAGATAGCACTGTTTTATCATCTAACATACTGAGGAAGATAGCACTGTTTTATCATCTAATGTACTGAGGAAGATAGCACTGTTTTATCACCTAATGTACTGAGGAAGATAGCACTGTTTTATCATCTAATGTACTGAGGAAGATAGCACTGTTTTATCATCTAATGTACTGAGGAAGATAGCACTGTTTTATCATCTAATGTACTGAGGAAGATAGCACTGTTTTATCATCTAATGTACTGAGGAAGATAGCACTGTTTTATCATCTAATGTACTGAGGAAGATAGCACTGTTTGATCATCTAATGTACTGAGGAAGATAGCACTGTTTTATCATCTAACGTACTGAGGAAGATAGCACTGTTTTATCATCTAATGTACTGAGGAAGATAGCACTGTTTTATCATCTAACATACTGAGGAAGATAGCACTGTTTTATCACCTAATGTACTGAGGAAGATAGCACTGTTTTATCACCTAATGTACTGAGGAAGATAGCACTGTTTTATCACCCAATGTACTGAGGAAGATAGCACTGTTTTATCATCTAATGTACTGAGGAAGATAGCACTGTTTTATCATCTAACATACTGAGGAAGATAGCACTGTTTTATCATCTAATGTACTGAGGAAGATAGCGCTGTTTTATCACCTAATGTACTGAGGAAGATAGCGCTGTTTTACCATCTAATGTACTGAGGAAGATAGCACTGTTTTATCACCTAATGTACTGAGGAAGATAGCACTGTTTTATCACCCAATGTACTGAGGAACATAGCACTGTTTTATCATCTAATGTACTGAGGAAGATAGCACTGTTTTATCATCTAACATACTGAGGAAGATAGCACTGTTTTATCACCTACTGTACTGAGGAAGATAGCACTGTTTTATCACCTAATGTACTGAGGAAGATAGCACTGTTTTATCATCTAATGTACTGAGGAAGATAGCACTGTTTAATCATCTAATGTACTGAGGAAGATAGCACTGTTTTATCATCTAATGTACTGAGGAAGATAGCACTGTTTTATCATCTAATGTACTGAGGAAGATAGCACTGTTTGATCATCTAATGTACTGAGGAAGATAGCACTGTTTTATCATCTAACGTACTGAGGAAGATAGCACTGTTTTATCATCTAATGTACTGAGGAAGATAGCACTGTTTTATCATCTAACATACTGAGGAAGATAGCACTGTTTTATCATCTAATGTACCGAGGAAGATAGCACTGTTTTATCATCTAATGTACTGAGGAAGATAGCACTGTTTTATCACCTAATGTACTGAGGAAGATAGCACTGTTTTATCACCCAATGTACTGAGGAACATAGCACTGTTTTATCATCTAATGTACTGAGGAAGATAGCACTGTTTTATCATCTAACATGCTGAGGAAGATAGCACTGTTTGATCATATAATGTACTGAGGAAGATAGCACTGTTTTATAACCTAATGTACTGAGGAAGATAGCACTGTTTTATCACCCAATGTACTGAGGAAGATAGCACTGTTTTATCATCTAATGTACTGAGGAAGATAGCACTGTTTTATCATCTAACATGCTGAGGAAGATAGCACTGTTTTATCATCTAATGTACTGAGGAAGATAGCACTGTTTTATCACCTAATGTACTGAGGAAGATAGCACTGTTTTATCACCCAATATACTGAGGAAGATAGCACTGTTTTATCATCTAATGTACTGAGGAAGATAGCACTGTTTTATCATCTAACATACTGAGGAAGATAGCACTGTTTTATCATCTAATGTACTGAGGAAGATAGCACTGTTTTATCACCCAATGAAGAGATGGAGCCTGCAGGTCACATGACCACGATCTCTTTGCTTGTGGTGATCAGGTGGCGCTGACCGGTGCCATTATGCTGTGATCACTCATTTACTCTTTGTTTGATGGGAGACGAATAAAAAGTTTCAAGTTCAAAGTGGGGTGGTAAAAAAGTCAGCTACACATCACATGATAATAATGGCTTCCTACAATGTAAAGATCTTTTTATACAAAGAACAAATTGATGGTTTTCTCATTGATACAGAAAAACCTTGAACCACTCTCTTCCTGCTGCCTCTGTTACTGTATAGCCTGTTCAGTGGTCAGTGGTTGCAGTTGGCTGTAGTCTGTTCAGGATAAGGGTCATATTGATGCAGTACAGCGTAGTCTGTCCAAGATAAGGGTCATATTGATGCAGTATAGCGTAGTCTGTCCAAGAGAAGGGTCATATTGATGCAGTATAGTGTAGTCTGTCCAAGAGAAGGGTCATGTTGATGCAGTATAGCGTAGTCTGTCCAAGATAAGGGTCATATTGATGCAGTATAGCGTAGTCTGTCCAAGAGAAGGGTCATATTGATGCAGTATAGCGTAGTCTGTCCAAGATAAGGGTCATATTGATGCAGTATAGCGTAGTCTGTCCAAGAGAAGGGTCATATTGATGCAGTACGGCGTAGTCTGTCCAAGATAAGGGTCATATTGATGCAGTACAGCGTAGTCTGTCCAAGAGAAGGGTCATATTGATGCAGTACAGCGTAGTCTGTCCAAGATAAGTGTCATATTGATGCAGTACAGCGTAGTCTGTCCAAGAGAAGGGTCATATTGATGCAGTATAGCGTAGTCTGTCCAAGAGAAGGGTCATATTGATGCAGTACAGCGTAGTCTGTCCAAGAGAAGGGTCATATTGATGCAGTATGGCGTAGTCTGTTTTAAGAGAAGGGTCATATTGATGCAATACGGCATAGTCTGTTCAAGATAAGGGTCATATTGATGCAGTACGGCGTAGTCTGTTCAAGAGAAGGGTCATATTGATGCAGTACGGCGTAGTCTGTTCAAGATAAGGGTCATATTGATGCAGTACGGCGTAGTCTGTCCAAGAGAAGGGTCATATTGATGCAGTATGGCGTTGTCTGTTCAAGAGAAGGGTCATATTGATGCAGTACGGTGTAGTCTGTTCAAGACAAGGGTCATATTGATGCAGTACGGCATAGTCTGTCGAAGGTAAGGGTCATATTGACGCAGGACAGCGTAGTCTGTTCAGGAGAAGGGTCATATTGATGCAGTACGGCGTAGTCTGTTCAGGAGAAGGGTCATATTGATGCAGTACGGCGTAGTCTGTTGAAGGTAAGGGTCATATTGATGCAGTACGGCGTAGTCTGTCCAAGATAAGGGTCATATTGATGTATGACAGCGTAGTCTGTTGAAGGTAAGGGTCATATTAATGCAGGACAGCGTAGTCTGTTGAAGGTAAGGGTCATATTGATGCATGACAGCGTAGTCTGTTGAAGGTAAGGGTCATATTGACGCAGGACAGCGTAGTCTGTTCAGGAGAAGGGTCATATTGATGCAGTACGGCGTAGTCTGTTCAGGAGAAGGGTCATATTGATGCAGTACGGCGTAGTCTGTTGAAGATAAGGGTCATATTAATGCAGTACGGCGTAGTCTGTTCAGGAGAAGGGTCATATTGATGCAGTACAGCGTAGTCTGTTGAAGGTAAGGGTCATATTAATGCAGGACAGTGTAGTCTGTTCAAGATAAGGGTCATATTGATGCAGTACGGTGTAGTCTGTTCAAGATAAGGGTCATATTGATGCATGACAGCGTAGTCTGTTGAAGGTAAAGGTCATATTGATGCATGACAGCGTAGTCTGTTGAAGGTAAGGGTCATATTGATGCATGACAGCGTAGTCTGTTGAAGGTAAGGGTCATATTGATGCAGTACGGTGTAGTCTGTTCAAGATAAGGGTCATATTGATGCAGTACGGTGTAGCCTGTCCAAGAGAAGGGTCATATTGATGCAGTAGTGGGATGTATACTCACTACAGCCTCTCTTAACTGTATTTCATATTAATTAAAAAATGAGTTTAAGACGGTTGTTTCATTGAAATTCAATAACAGGCTTTGAAGGGGCTGTACGAGTAATTTCCACTGAAGTCTTGTGGGCTCGGGACTGGAGGACTCATAAATGTCCCCTGCTGGCCAATTTCCTTCTTGCTTCAAACGCTCCACCTTCCGGGAGAATGACGCTGTCTCTTTTCCATTCCATCATGGCTGACAAAAAATGAAATCTGAGTTTTCCTGCAAACAAATAGTGTCTGATAATTGACAGTTATTGCAGTGAATAAAGCTGGGCAAATGGCCACTCTGGACATCAAAGATAGCACAACATCCAATATGCCTGCATGTTGCTGTGCTGATGAAGAATCACATCCATTAGTGCAGCGGGATTACAGCTCGCTGGGTCAGGGCAGCCCACGGGGGGGGCATAGCTGCAGGGAGGGGGGGGGGCAGTGCAGGACACAGAGCAGTTGACAGGCCACGTGTTCACACAGCTGTCACCCTTTGAGTTGTATACATCCCATTGAATTGTTTGTTTCGCTCATAATGAAGATGAAATGATTTTTTGCAAAAATATTAATAAAGTTGTTTTGTGTGTTGCAGGGTGCTGGTGACAAAGCTTGTTTGGTGAGTACTTCTGCCAATCATTAAATCTCTCACATGTAGAATGTACATCGCTTGGGCCGATTACTGTTTACACACACAAGTATTGAACTCAGCTTAACCCTTTCAGTGCCAGTCACAGTATTCTTAACACTTTGCAAGTTGATTTACAACAAATACACTCGAGTGTTAAACCAGGATGTTTCACTGCAAGATGGCCCTGCAGAATATTTACCAGTTTATTTATTCAAATCATGTGGAAACATAGTGATATATTGTTACTTATATCACCTGCAGGTGTAGTGTAGTGATATATTGTTACTTACATCTCCTGCTGGTATAGTGATATATTGTTACTTACATCTCCTGCTGGTATAGTGATATATTGTTACTTACATCTCCTGCTGGTATAGTGATATATTGTTACTTATATCACCTGCTTATTTCATTCAAAATTCCTTTTAATATTGTTTTTATTAATTTCGGCGAAATCGTGTGTGAAGCGATCAGAAGATCGCACAACTCACCGTTATTAACAGCAACCACGGTCAGAATACCGCTATTGACGCCTTGAAACGAATTTTAGTTGACAGAGAATGGATACATATATCATAAATGACATGCTTTGACTCGTTAAAAGAAATATTTGTTTTTGTTTGACGATTCTATGTCAACATGAAATTCTCGCGATCACGTGCGCATGAGCCTTGACGGTGACTGGTCAGACTGGTTCCATGTAAAAAATAATACCCGGGAATAGCGATCAGCTGCTTCGCTTAGGGTTATTATTATTTTAAATATGTTTAGTAAAGGCTACATATAATTAAGAAAATAATGGAATATATTATTCCTGATAAAAAAAATAGTTTCAGATACGATTGTTGCCGATCCTTGCATTAAAAATCCTATAAAGTTATATCATTGGGTGTGTCTTGACCAAATCACCGGTCGATTCCAAGAAAACGTGTATACAGCTGATTGCTGTTTCCAGCTTAGTTTACGAGAAAATACACAAGGTAATCTTAATCCCTAGATATTAAACAATGCCTAGCAGAACAATAAATACTATTTAAACGGTAAATAAACATGTCTGGTGATTCTTTATCTCAAATTTCGAATTTGTACTGACAAAGTTTCTCATCACCCGTTCGTTTGCCGGACTTCGCTGAAAGGGTACGGTGTAATTTTTTTTCTGCGCATAATATTCAAATTTCTTTTTTTCCAAAATATTGAACCCGCTAGAGGGGGGTGCGCATTATACATGGGTGCGCACTATACTCAAGAAAATACGGTACATCTCCTGCTGGTATAGTGATATATTGTTACTTACATCTCCTGCTGGTATAGTGATATATTGTTACTTATATCACCTGCAGGTGTAGTGTAGTGATATATTGTTACTTACATCTCCTGCTGGTATAGCGATATATTGTTACTTATATCACCTGCACGTGTAGTGATATATTGCCACTTATATCTCCTGCAGGTGTAGTGTAGTGATATATTGTTACTTACATCTCCTGCTGGTATAGTGATATATTGTTACTTACATCACCTGCACATGTAGTGATATATTGCCACTTATATCTCCTCCAGGTGTAGTGTAGTGATATATTGCCACTTATATCTCCTGCAGGTGTAGTGTAGTGATATATTGCCACTTATATCTCCTGCAGGTGTAGTGTAGTGATATATTGTTTCTATATAGCTCCTGCAGGTGTAGCGATATATTGTTACTTATATCACCTGCAGATGTAAGATATATTGTTACTTATATCTCCTGCAGGTGTCGTGCCTGTATTGTTTCTGTGTAGAGATATATTGTTACTTATATTTCCGGCAGGTGTGGTGATATATTGTTACTTATATCTCCTGCAGGTGTCGTGCCTGTATTGTGTCTGTGTAGAGGTATATTGTTACTTATATCTCCTGCAGGTGTCGTGCCTGTATTGTGTCTGTGTAGAGGTATATTGTTACTTATATCTCCTGCAGGTGTCGTGCCTGTATCGTGTCTGTGTAGAGGTATATTGTTACTTATATCTCCTGCAGGTGTCGTGCCTGTATCGTGTCTGTGTAGAGGTATATTGTTACTTATATCTCCTGCAGGTGTCGTGCCTGTATTGTGTCTGTGTAGAGGTATTTTGTTACTTATATCTCCTGCAGGTGTCTGTGTAGAGGTATATTTTTCCAGTGTTTCCTGTAAGTGTAGGCCTGTGTCGGACCAGACATCGGAATGAAATATTGATGGTGTTATGATGTTACAATCTCTGTCTCCACGTTCCAGTCTATGGACCTGTTCGAAAGCTATTAGTCAAAAAGCTCCACATGGGAAAAGTTCATTCTTCAAAAGCAGATTGGTTTTATTGAATCAATCCTAAATGGATCATCAATGATATTACAACTTCAACCTGAATAATTAATGTGCATGCACACTGGCAGTATGTATCGGAATACCGATGTGCTGTACGCACCAATAAATCTTTGATCAATCAGACTAATAATGTAGAGATTTACTAGAAGTGTGACGGCCCGGTTAACTGGAAGCTTTTGGAGTAACTCAATATGTACTCCTGTTAGTGAGGTGCTCGCACAGATTAACATTTTTCTAAATGTTTGTGTTTATGCAATGAATCCAGCTTAACCCTTTGCCTGCTGTCACGTCTGTTGTTGATCAGGACACAGGTAACATGCAGTGACACATCAATAACTGTTGTCACGTCTGTTGTTGATCAGGACACAGGTAACATGCAGTGACACATCAATAACTGCTGTCACGTCTGTTGTTGATCAGGACACAGGTAACATGCAGTGACACATCAATAACTGCTGTCACGTCTGTTGTTGATCAGGACACAGGTAACATGTAGTGACACATCAATAACTGCTGTCACGTCTGTTGTTGATCAGGACACAGGAAACATGCAGTGACACATCAATAACTGCTGGATTTGAAGTAAGAACAAACAATATGTTCAGATTGACAGCATCACATTCTGTATTGTAAGGGGCGGTGTGGTAGCCTAGTGGTGAAAGCATTCACTCGTCATGGCGAGGACCATAGTTCCATTGACGACATTGAATTGCTATTGCTGGAATATTGCTAAAAACTGTGTAAAACTAAACTCACTCACTCACTCACTCACTCACTCACTATTATAATATACAACTATATAGGTTTGAAGAATTTTCCTCAAGATATCATAGATTGAAAATGTTTTGCTTACCCCATATTGAAAATGGGGGCAATTTTGGCATTCCTGGAACATGCACAGGTGTTCGTGCAAAACTGGTATTGAACCACAGCAAACTCTTAAGTTTGCATACATTCATCACAGGTGTGGCGATAATATTACAATTTTAATGGATATTTCATGCTCAAACTAATACTTAAAACTTTTACTCAATCAAAATCGCTGCAATGTCATTTGGACAAAAGTATAAAGTCAGCTGGTTCCTTCAGAATTGATCTATGAATCTCTGGGTAAATGTTTTATGCTTTGATTAAATATAAAAGTGTATTTGACAGCATCTTCATCTTCAACCAGTCAGTCATGTCGCATTTCTTGGAACTTCGAGTTGCAAACAAATATGTATTTGTTACCGGTATTGGATACTGGGCATTGACCACTGGAAGCTGAAACAAACTATTGGGTCATGTGAGATGTGAAGATGTTCCCATAGAGCCTCAGGCATTCAAAGTATGAACCTCCCATCTGTCCGTGAATAAACTGGGGAACATGTTTAATTGAAATTTAATACTTTTATGGATAAAAAATGGAGATTGGCCCCATATGGAATATAACTCCCCCTCTCTTCAAGGGGATTCCCAATCCTGTAAATATCCGATTCCACCGTGTTTCTAAATATGTTTTTATTACCTGTATAGGGTAGTGAGCATTGACCACTGAAAGGGAAAACCAAAGGATAAATATTCCTGTCTATCTTGGTATTGTCGACTATTGCGGGAATTGTTCATGAGTGCAGTGATATATGTGATTGTCACTTGTTCAGTTGAGGGCAGGGGTAGCCCAGTCGTCTAAGGCGCCGCGATTTGCTGTGCAGAGTTGCGTCCCTTGGGCACGCCAGAAACCTATGATTGTGGATTCGAATCCCGGTTTGCTAGGATTATGTTTCTAGGTTTGTCAGCAACATACCCGTGCTCGTGGGTTTCACAGAAGTGGTAAACTTTTGAGACACGCATCACTTCGGGCTTTCCTCCCACAATAAGCTGACATGCCGTGATATGACTGGAATACTGTTAAAAGCAGCGTTAAACTCAACTCAACTCACTCATCAAGTGTTGAGAGTTCATTAAGTGTTGAGAGTTCATCAAGTGTTGAGTGTTCATCATATGTTCATAAAATAATGAATAATGTTTCCCTTCATTGTTCTGTAGCAGGATTTAAGTGATCATTCAGTATTTTTTTTCACTTTGGTGTTGAAGGTCATTGTTTGAAGGAGAATAAGATTTTCCTGTGCTACCTCAGTGGTTATGTTGTAAAGGTAAACACATGCTTTCTCCATTTGGGGATCAACAATATCGTGCACTCATCCACTGTCAGCTGACGCCAGATCACATGGTTGTTTGATGTGAGCACAGAGTAACTGAACAGGCAGAAAAATTAGTCCAGTAAAATACATTATTTTGATATATTTATGATTTTACATACCATAATTTTCATTCGAATCCGACCCGTGAAGATCCAGGGTAGAATAGGTCTTAAGCAACCGAAGCTTGCCGTAAAAGGTGACTGTGCTTGTCGTAAGAGGCGACTAACCGGATTGGGTGGTCAGGCTCGCTGACTTCATATCCTGTATCGCTGTAAACATATATCACTTTGTTTCAAAAGCAGGCTTGTCAATTTTCTTTCCATTCGAAATGTTCTAAAAATATCACACAATGTCATCAGTCAAGTGATTAAAGCATCTGCTCATCACACTGGAGACCGGGGTTCGATTGCCGACAGAGGTACAATGTGTGAAGCCTGCTATGATATTGATGGAATGTTGCCAAAAGCAGTGTA